TCCATGAAGTCACTGACAAGTGGACTGAGCCATGTTGGTAGGTGTAGACTACCTGGTTGGGGACCGCGAGATGATAGCAACCGATGGTTAGAGATCCTGAATGACATGGCTCAAAATCGTTTGCAATGGCGCAGGTGCATCCACTCTTTGTGTTCTCCTTAATTCTAATCTTCTGAATTCTTCATGTCCTTTATTTTCTTTCCAAATTTATTTCACTGGATTATACTCCTTGAATAACATGTTCAAACCCTAATGTTTCCGATTACTGCTTATACTCTTACTACCTCTACGACTACGGAATTTGAGTCGACAACTGCATTTCTCTGCTAATGTGGCATAGCAACTTGGACTGAAGTATGTACGTACGAAGTTCTACGTTTTTACTGACTGACTGACTGACTAAATATTATTAATGGCTATATTCAATATTATATTTTTGAACGAGACTATAATTTATGGATGAACCAATCAGGTATAAGATTACAGGTCTCGGATTTTGAAGCGAAATTCACTCAACTATTTGGATAAATAGAGTTTTGACATTAAAGCTGATGTAAGTTCATGATGAAAACCATAACTTAATTCTTAACTTCAACCATCAACTGTAAATCATAATTCTAATTCCTCATATTGGTTTATAAAACCCTAATTTGTCCTAGTTATTAGAGGGGCACTCTCAAGGTTAGTTTAGAGTCGCTCAAACTTACATACTTACGCCTGTTACTCCTCGCGAAGGAGGATAGGCCGCTCACCAGTATTCTCCATCCAACCCTGTACTGGGCAATCCTTTCCAGCTCCTTCCAGTTGTTATTCTTCCTTTTCATATCTGATTCTATTTTCCGACGTAATGTGTTCTTTGGCCTTCCTCTTTTCCGCCCCCCTTCAGGATTCCAATTTCAAGCTTGCCTCGTGATTCAGTTTGATGATTTACTAAATGTATATCCCATCCGCTTCCAACGTCTTTTGCTAATTTCCTCTTCAACTGGAAGCTAGTTTGTTCTCTCCCACAGTAGGCTGTTACTGATGGTATCCGACCAATGGATGTTGAGTATCTTGTGTAGAAAACTGTTTATAAATACTTGTACCTTCTTGATGATGGTTGTTGTAGTTCTGAAAGTTTGAGCTCCGTACAGTAGAACTGCCTTGACATTCGTATTGAAGATTGTGACTTTGATATTGGTTGATAGACAGTTGTTTTGAGTTTCATATGTTCTTCAATTGTAGGAATGCTGTCCTTGCTTTGCCAATCCTCACCTTTACGTCTGCATCTGATCCTCCTTGTTCATCGATGATGCTTCTCAGGTACGTGAAGGATTCTATATCTTCCAGAGCGTCGCTCAAAGGTCGTCCATAAATTATAATCTCACCTATTTTCGGTATAATATAGAATTTTCAGCACAAAGTATTTCAACAAGTTTTCTTTTTTTAATTTTTTTATCTATCCTGATGATAAATATTGAGTGATCACCAGTTAGATTTTAGCAGTTCAGAAATCAACATTTGAACATTGATCATTCTTTTCAATGCAGAGTAGCATCCAACACAATGCACTCTGAACGTACTTTTTGTAAGTTGTACAGGGAAAGATCGTAAACATTTCATAAACATGTCTAAATCGATTATGCGATTAATAAACATAATAATGTGTTAAGACAAACAAAAGACAGGTAATTTGTTTAGAAATGTTGATGTCAGGTACAGATAAACCAGATATTCAATAAGGCCACTGGTAACATGATAAGAGAAACCGCTTTTTGGTGGAGTTTTGTTCTCTGAGCTGGACCATCCAGCTCAGAGAACAAAACTCCACCAAAATCATCCACCTGAGCTACAAATCTTCTCCACTATCTCAAGAGAAACCGCACTTGGAATAGAATGATATTCAATATCAGAATGTATACATACACTCAATGTTGACTATACACTTAGTTATTGAATGTCAAAGAATATTGATAGAGGTGTATAATCAAGTGTAATTTCAATAAACCCTACAAGTAGGTTTAAATATGTATATGATATTGAGTAATTTAGGGTTTTTGAAAACTTTTTGTCGTATAGAGAACCCAGATTAAACGTTTCTTTAATATGTTGAGTTATGAAGATGATTGGATGTCGTACTTTTAAATTACGAACTGGGTCTTGTTACACAATCACTGAAAACAAAGAAATTGTGGACAGTGACTTTGTCTTATTATGAGACTCGTCAGCAAACTGTATCTATCATACTGATAATAATAATCACCTGTGGTTAATTTGGAGAAGTAATTCATGGAGTTTTAATCAGTAGTTGTACCCAGCAAAGTTCAACCATGTTCACGGTAATGCAGTTATCCATGATGAGTATTGGAAAACGGTTGCACATTATCATTAACGAACTAAAGTTTGAAAGGTTAATCAATACATGCTAACTTAGTGGTCCAAATGTTAGGTGCCCGTTTCGAAACACGAAGGCCATGGATCTATTTCATGGCGAGGTCCTGTACATACAATGTTGAGTAATTCTGTAATCATATAAAACACGTATCCAGTGCTTATTGATTTACAATAACCGTCTAATAAAATTCATTCAGTGTTGTGAGATTTCGAAAATCTTCCTCTACATTCTAACATTCATTCTTCTCCTTAGTGTATCTACCTAGTCTGTTGAATAAATATGGGACTTGAAGTTATAAACACTATAATACTCAGATTACATCAATTTCATCATTATATTCAAAATACTACACCGATGATTATTATTGGCTTTATGCGGTATTATATGTTTGGTACAATATAGAATTCTCAGTAAAATACGACAGTAAATTCATGGCAGCACACTCGTCTCATCTTCATCTCCATCTACATTGCCAAAAAAATCCTCACAATAGTATTCGCAAATCAGTATCTTCAACTCATTCAATATAGTTCAATATTTTTGTCAAATTTCAAGGAGTTTGCTATCACAATCAAGTGTGAATAGACAATTTTCCTATATTCAGTTGATTGACATTGACTCATGTGAACAATGTATCTGCGGGATTCAAATCCAGGACCTATCGGTCTCGCGCTCGTGCGGGATAGTGAATGCTCACTACTGAAGAGTCCCATACTAGGACGAAACGGTCATTCAATGCTTCCAGCATTTCCATTGTGGTCTAACTTTAATGGACTCATGAATTCAACCATTGAACTACAATATTTAACTGATCTAAAAATTCCAGTGTAATGTGATCTGGAATATGAGAAACATATACACATGTGAATACCTCACTCATAATGTAAATTTCACATGTACTCGTAACTAACCATATACGCATAGATACACACAAAATGTATAATGATATATAGTCAGTGTTTATAAACATAACTTATTTTCGGACAATAATCTACGAACATATTTATATCATAAAAAGTCTAGTTATAAAATCAATATTATTGATAGTAGTTTGTTTCTAGATGGTGATTTATTTGTATTATCAAACTTAGCTCATTATCAAAGTAGGTAGTATATAGCAAACTACATCATTGTTGGTCAGTTAACTTATATTAGTATTCACCAAGAAAAAGCGATGACCTCATGGTTAAATCCATTCGACTTCTAACCATTATTTACTTATTACTTACACCTGTCATTTTTCGTCGAGGAGCATAGGTCGCATACCAAAATTCTCCATCCAACCTTGTCCTGGGCAATCCTTTCCAGTTTTTATTCGTCCTTTTCATATCTGATTCTGTTTCCCGACGTAATGGAAATAAGTTAACAATGGTAAATCGTATAATCGTAGCCAATAGGTTAAATGAAAGTTTATGATGAAAGGAATACATATATATGGTTTTGAGATAGTGGAGATTTGTAGATCAGGAGTAAACAATGACTAGTTAAAGGTCAGCAATAGCCAATCGAGGTCACCTCAATTCTATTAAGCTGTGAGCTATATGTGAAGAAATTTGAGCACCTCATTTCTACCTGAAGTTTGTGTTGATGATGTCGTTCAGAATGACGACGGAAGTTCCACGACCAAACCATCCGGATTAGAGAACAAACCTCCATCTGAAAACCTATTATAAGCCTTAGAAAATTTATGAGGTAAATTAAACCACCTATATATATATTTAGGTTCCCATTTTTGCATAAAGATTACTGAATTATTGACTATTTATTTACTCACTGATTACTAATGAGAATGAAATAGTCGAGGTCATTATCAAAATGAGTAATATAGACTGGTTGTATTGAACTTGTGAATTTTAATCTCATCAGTCATACTATGGTATGTGTTACGGATGTCCACAGATATAAGTAGTATGTATCGTGAATAGAAAGTGAAATACTTGGAGGCAGAAGATTGGGAAGATAGGAAAAAAGAGAACTAAAACAGGGAATGATTGGTGTGGAAACGAAGGAACAGTCAAGTATGAGTCGATTTGTTGACATTTTTCAAATGAAATATTTTCTGCTACAACTATCATCAGAAATGTACAAGGATATATAAACAGTTATCTACTCAAGATATTCAATGTTCGTTAATCAGACAACAATCCACTATGGAGAGGACAAAGCAGCTTTCAACTGAAGGGGGAAATTAAAAAAGACTTTGAAATTAAATAAGACATGTATTTCGTAAATCATCGAACTGCATCACGAGGTAAGCGCTAACTTGGAATTATGAAAGGAAGAAGAAAAGAGGAAGGCCAAAGAACACACTGAGTCGGGAAATGAAAGCAGACATGAAAAGGATAAATATCAACTAGAACAGATAGTCTAGGACAGAGTTGGATGGAGATTTCTGATAATCGGACTATTCCGCTCCTCCATGAGGGGTAACATGAGTAAGTAAGTAATCGAATCTCAGATTCAAATACATTCAACTGTACTCACTGGTATTCTCATTCACTACCTACTTAATCAATTCAATCAATGAATACTAATAAATATGAGGATTTCAAATGATCAAAACATTTCACTCACACACACACACACACACTCATAAACACACACACAAAAAAAAACTGAAACATACATTTAAAAAATGTGGTTGTGATATAACAATTGGTGCATTCGGTTGACATGATGACATATCCAATACACCATCTTTAAAACAATTTGACCAATTTAAACAAAATCCTTTATTCTTCTCATAGAATTCACCAGATTTAAATGTATCCTCAGTTAATAAATATTTAAATACATTTAAATGATTCATTTGTTTAATTGAATCTCTTGTTAATTGAATGGAACGACATAAATCATTCAGAAATATATAGGGTTTCTCTTGTTTATTTATATAAGTATGATAGATTGTACCATCAGTACCATTGATCATATTCGCTGTAATTGTTGTCCAATCATTTAATTTAGTCTTATTATTATATTGTATGATTTTGCCTAAATTTTTAGGATTTTTTAAACCATCATGAATGATGATATCATCATTTAATGTATCATTATAATTTAATAATAAACCAATCTTTGTCATTTTTATATTAAATCCATAATTAGATAATAATAATAAGAATTCATCATTATAACCCCATAATAATTGTTGAATTGTTTTAATTTGTATTAATTTATAATGATGATATTTTTCATATAATTCAATCAAATAATTAATTAATCGTGGTAACGAATTCAATTTAGTTGCTATGGCAACAAATCCTAAATTGATATGGGTTATATGATCGGTTTCATGTCCAATTGATAATTTCGAATTGAAATAATATCGTTTATATTGTTGATATTTTATTGTATTATTATTATAATTATGTTGTATATTGAATTTATAATATTTAATATTATATGTATATGGTCCTAATTGTTTTAATTTAGGTTTGGCACCATTTTGAAATTCATATGGATTTGTTAAATTAAAAAAATAAAATTGTATATAAATTGGTATAGATGAATTAAACCAATGATTATATAATTGACTATTCTCTTTTAAACATAATTGATTATTAATGATAAGCCATATAGATGGATGAATAGCACATAATAAGATAAATGAAATAATAATAATTGTAATTAATAATCTTATTAACATAATGTTATTCATTAGATTAATAATAATAATAATAATAATAATAATAATAATAAATAAATGTTGACATGGTAACATGACTCTTTTTATTAGATTGTATTGTTTTCAATGAACCAATGAACATTAAGATGAGTAATAAATATGAACCAATCAAATCGAGATTATATTTTTTTTATAAATGAACCAATCAGATATAAGCAATGATGGATGGTGGCTAGCATTGGAATCCAGGACGCGCGTTTCGTCCTATTTGGGACTGGTCAGCTGGATGTGAATTAAGGTAATATCGAGGCATATGCACAGTATGCACATATGCCAATAACAGACTAATCAATTGCAGTCTTAAACCTCAATGAGAAGATACAAGCCAAAAACAATAGCAATAATGAATAAAAGTTCACATGGTAACATGACTCTTTTTATTATATTGTGTTGTTTTCAATGAAACAATGAACATTGAGATGAGTAATAAATATGAACCAATCAAATCGAGATTATAATTTTATAAATGAACCAATCAGATATAAGATAATAGGTCATGAATGTTATGGCACGTAACTCACCCGTATTTAAGGATGGATGTACATGTAACGTTTCCACGTAAATTTAGTGTATCATCCAGTGTGTAATAACGGTCATCTCTATGTTCATTAATCATAGAACTTGTCATGTTATAATGTATGTTTTTTATTAATTAATTAATTAATTTATTTATTTATATTAATTATCATTGATGAACATGGTGCGTCTGATGCAGATGTGAAAGCGCGGATCGGTAAAGCAAGAGCGGCATATTTACAACTGGAGAACATCTGGAACTCAAAACAACTGTCTGTCAATCAACACCAAGGTCAGTATTTTCAATACAAATGTCAAAACAGTTCTATTGTATGGGGCGGAAACCTGGAGAACAACGAAAGTCATCATCCAGAAGATGCAGGTGTTTATTAACAGTTGTCTATGCAAAATACTTCGGATCTGTTGGCCGGACACTCTCAGCAACAAACTATTGTGGGGGAGAACAAACCAGATTCCAGAGGAGGAAGAAATCAGGAGAAAGGGCTGGAAGTGGATAGGGTACAGATTGAGGAAAGCACCCAACCACGTCACAAGACAAGCCCTCACATGGAATCTTCAAGGCTAAATGAGGAGTGGAACAACAAAGAGCACATTACGCCGAGAAATGGAGATAGACATGAGGAAAATGAATAAGAATTGGATGGAACTAGAAAAGAAGGCCCAGGACAGAGTGGGTTGGAGAACGCTAGTCGGCAGCCTATGCTCCATTGGGAGTAACAGGCGTAAGTAAGTAAGTAAGTAATGTATGTTTTTTATTTATTAAAGAACTAGCTTATGATATGAATTTTGATCTGGTTGTAATTTTTTATTCTCCAAGTCAGACTGTGTTACACCGTACGTTCATTGCATGCTGGAATGATATCCCAAATCATAGTAATTTTAATCATATCGTTGGTTATTTTTTCAAATAGATCGTCAGTGAATAATAATGTTAGTTTGTGATGAAAAACTTAAATCTAATTTCTTAAAACCCTACTTATCAATTGTAAGTGAGATTTCTAACTGATTCATAACCCTCACTTAGTTCTAATGAGTAAGTTTCCATTCTTAAAGTCACTTTAGCGTCGCTTAAATGTCGTTTATAGATTATAATCTCATCCCAATAAGAAATATTAATAATCTTGATATTTGAAAATAAACTATTCGACGACATTATTATTTATAAGTGAGCCAATCAGAAATGTTTAATGGATTTCAAGGTCACAGCGCTAATTTTAATACCTGATACTCTCAAGTACGATTGATTCATAGAGGATTTTTTCAAAGAAAACTTGATAATTGATTGGCTACAACAAATGGGTTTATTAAGAAGTTTTCTCTTATTTGTGATTATGGTAATCAAATGATTTATGGAGCCTGTGTAGACTACCTTGGTGTTGTTTTACTTTCGATGTAATATGTGTTGAAGGAAGAAGTCTGTTAGAATAAGATTTTTTTAAACTTGATCTAGATTGAGACAAAGGCGAATTGCGAACTGGATAATAAGAACATTGGCTACAGCCGGGTACTAAAAATGTATACGACTTATTGGAGAGCGTACAGATTCCTGCACAGACTTATGTGCGTCGTGTCATTGCTCATAAGCAACATTTTGTGGACTCAATAACCGGAGTACATACAAACAACGTCGAAGCTGTTTGGTCGAGGTTGAAAGAGCTTTTGCGACTTTATCATAGCTCAAGAGGCCTACTATTATGAAGTTATATGGATAACTTCTTCTACCGTATGCATTACGATTTTAGAACCTCTGAACCTCTTACTAACCTTGACAATTTTTTCAACCATGTAAAAGAAGTGTATCCACTTTAATTCTTTGGTTTTGTATGACGTATTTTTACTCCATATAAACTGTTTTCCGACTGGCTAATATTCATCAAGGTCTTTTAAAATTTATTCAAGGGTCGTTCATAAATTATATTCTCGCCAACAATAGTCCGACCGCGAGACTGAAGATTCCGAATTCGAGTCCCGTGTGCGTGATTATGGATGTGTACTGATGAGGAATCCTATACTACAAAGAAACGGTCATCAACTCATCAATTAAACTATTAGAAACTAAAAAAATTTGACTGATATTTTAAAACAAGTGAAATTGTGCAGAGAGAAGAAATTTGGTATTTGGACGTGATAAATTATCAATGGTTATTTGTGTTTTATATTGTTTACCGACTGTACCTAGACAATCAGTGAAAAACAGAGAGTATTTAGCAATGATCTTATTTTGCTAGTATAGGGGTTGCGGAGATTATTAAGTTTTTGATTGAGATCATGAACTGATTGATGTTAGACCACCTTTGGAAACCTGGAAGCACTGAACCGAAGGCCCTGGGTTTGAATCTCGTGAGCGGTATCGTGGATGTGCACTGCTGGGGAGTTCCACAACAGGACGAAACGGCCGTCCAGTGCTTCCAGGTTTACAAAGGTGGTCTAACATCAATCGGTTCATGATCTCGATCTTATTTTGATCACTGCACATTTATGCCAGTGAAATGGATTGAATTGAGAATATTTTTGATTATACAGTGACCAAGTTATCAGTACAATCGATTCGCGATACTTTACGTATTCATCAGCCGATTAAGGTAACACTTATCACATAATTTATTCAGCAATATAAGTTTCACTACAGTAAGTGTCAGTGTTGAGTATAAAATAGTGATATGGTTAATCTAATAAATTTACATGATGAATGAATGACCAATGAAATTATCCATTTCTGTTAAGTGGTCTGAGGTAATTCTTTAGCAAGTCTTAGGTCATACTTTTGTTCTAGTTGGCTATCATCAATAAGGTGTACCTAGAATTTTGGGGGAAATGATTTTCCCATTCAAACACGATCTAATGTTACTTAAGTAGATAGTTTGTGACTTTAACATTGTACTATTCCTGTCCGAATCCATTGGAACTAGTAGTTCTTTCAAGACTCCAGATACGTCTGGTTGATTAGCACTAATTAGCATGAAACTAAGGTCAAGCATAGCTTCCCACCGACTGACTCCAACTAATGAACATCCATACATATATCATATTGGACTTTGAACCTAATCTCTTCACTTTAAATGTCTAATTCGTTATCCACTTAGTTATTGAGTCCAGATAATTACTGTCTTGTACACAGATATACTTATATATTCGTTACTAGTAGTTAAGTAATTTACATGATTATTATCGTTAAGGTACAGAAAATAGCAATCTTCGGTATAGTGTAAAAACTTAGTATATGTTTGACTTCATAACAAAGTTTCTAGAGGCATTGATAGTTAAAAACCAGTAGTCAAGATATTTGACTAATTACTTGCTAATGATTTAAACAATATGACAATAAATTTATGTGGATTGATTGGAATATGACATTAATACCATTGAATGACAGGTTAGTAGTCTAGAAGTTGAGCGTTCGCGCGTAAGACCGAAGATTCTGGGTACGAGTGGCGCGTGCGGGATCGTGGATGCTCACTGCTGAGCAGTACCAGATACGACGAGACGGCGTCCAGTGTTTCCAGGTTTTCTATGGTGGTCTAGCTTCAGCTGACCCATTAATTCAACTGTTAGAATACTATAATATCCACAGAACTCCTTTCTGATTATAATTACAATTTGAATGCATGTTAAAGATAAATTAATTACAATATTGAACAACTAATTCTGTGAATAAGTTATCATAACATTTTACCGTAATGGACAATTTTTTTTATTTTTTCAGTAGTCATCATACTACTAACTAATGAATGAGTAGAACAATTTAAATTACGAATATTTTCAGCTGCTGATACATTCCACCTGAAAATAACTTTTTTCTCTTATTATACGCACATAACTGTTGTATTAAAAGAAACCTACTAAAAATAGGAAAACATTCTTTTTTAATGAAAATACAGTCAAGACTTAAGTTTGGTTATGGAACATGAGATCATAAACTATGTAAAATGCAATAAAGATTCCTCAGCATGAAATAGTTCAATAAGGTTCTACTCTACATCATATAAATTAGCAAACTTATATAAAATTGAGCTAAAATTTAAAGATAAAAAACAATCGTTACAATAGTAAATAACATATGTACAATTTTTGTAAGCAATGGTGGATAGTGGCTAGCAGTGGAATCCAGGATGCGCGTTTTGTCCTATTTGAGACTCGTCAGCTGGATGTACCTGCATCTCAGAGTTGATGTTCACTTCATAACTCAAACCCAGTACCATTCACTTCAAACGCCATCGCGTTATCAACTCAGCTACTGAGTCCTGATAGCCACTTGCTTGTGCAATGGGGAGATAAAAGCCAAACAATAACAAGAGAACATATGTACAAGTTCATGACCATAGGCTTTAGTGTTTAGGTTCATTCCCATTCTTCTTAGCCCTCTTCCTTTTGTTTATTACTTTATACTACTTAATAATATTGAGTAACTCGTTTCATTTCTAATAACGTTTGAGCATAAGGTGAGTTGTGCATTGTAGTTGTGTCATATTCTTGAGTATTGACATAATTTGATAAAATTCAATTTATTCATTGTTATAATCACATGTTCCTAATTTTTTATAACGAGTGTTTTTATTTCTAGTGTATATGTTAAACTTCCGTTATTCACTGTAACAGTTTCCATATTTTAGTGGTCCTCTTGTGATGCGCGCTACTTACATTGATATAACTAGTATATGACGCGAGT